ACCCGGATTGTTGTTGGGGGCAATATGCTGACTCTGTAAACCGCTTAGAGAGGGCTGAAAGCCCTATGAAGCGGTATATAAGTCTAACTGCTATCCAGTCAGAGCTGGGGAAGCTTCTTGGATGAGAAGCGAAACGTCTTTAAACAAAAAGAGAAGAATGTCCGGTTGCCTCCTGAAAAAAAGCACGTTTAGAATGCTTGAGTAATTTAAAAAAAAAAAAAAAAAGGAGACAAAACCAGGTGCGATCCTTCGAAAAACTCCTGTCCGGTCCAACTGTGTGTTGCTGCACACTGGTGGTGTAACAGGATTCAAGTTTGCTTTAGGAGAATTTGCACAAGGAAGGAAGCTCCCTGGTGGAATTTGCCTTATGTTCATTGCAAGGAATTCCCTGGGAATAATCGTGCAATAAATAGATATCTGATTTTTCTTTCGGGGGGAAAAAATAAAAATGCCGTAGAGCCATGGTGGTGAACCCGTGGCACGCAGAGCCGTCTCCCCAGCCCAGCTCTCCCCCCACATGCGCACACGCTTCCCAGCCAGCTGGCCTTCGGGTCTCTGTCGTGCATGCGCAGGGGACGGAGCGCATGTGCGGGGGATGCTCACGTTGCATTTTGGGGCCTCAAGCATGTGCGCACCCACCCCCTTGCCCCGTTTTGGGGCCTCAAAGGCCTCCTTCACCAACCTGGAAGCCAAAACTGGGCGCAGGGGGTGGGGTGCATGCGCAGGAGGGCGCTCGCTCTGCATTTTTTTTAGTTTCGCGCAGGCACTTTGGGCACTTGACACCAAAAAGATTAGCCACCACTGCTATAGAGCCAAACCATATTCTTAAGTATAAGCAAGACGAAGTTGGGCCTTCCGTGTTATTTTCGGCAACGTACTCCAAAAACCGTCAGAGAATTGAGGGGCCGGTGACGGTTCTTCAACCGCTACTCTGCGGTTCGCTACTGAGAATTAAAATAATTGTACACTGTTTCGTTTTTTATCTCCTTGTGTTGGCCAGTAAAGCTGTCGCTCCGGTGGGAATGATTCCGATCCATTCGGATACTTGTGGGCATTAGCCTTGGGCTCGCGATGATTCTGTTGTGAGACCCTGGTCCCTTATTCAAACAACACGTTTCTCTGTAACATGGAGACCAAACGCACAAGTCTTTATGCTGCCTACTAGCGCTCAGAAATTGGTTTATGGCTATTAGATGTTCTATTCCCCCACATGCCAAAGACGAAGAAGATGTAAGGCTTCACCGAGTCATATTTGTGGAAAGTGCAATTAGGTCAGTCAAGTTCTTTTTCTACACTTCCTTTCCCGGGTGGCATTAAAAAGAGCCACTGGCCTCAACCAGTGGTGGGTTCCGGACCCCGGCACAGCTGGTAGACTGCGCACAGGGAGGGGCATTCTAGATGCACACACCGCCGCCCTGCAACACCCAGCTGCTCGGCAGAGGTCGCGCAGGTGCTGTGCATGCACGCACAATGGGCCGTCCACATTATAAACAGCCATGGAAAGCAAGAGGGCGGGTGGGCCAAATGAGCCACCGTCCCAGTACGGTGGGCGCTGTTCCCGGCCACTTCCGGTACGACCGTACCACCCGGAACCCACCACTGGCCTCACTTCTTTGGAGGAAGGGTCTTGAGATGTGCCAGAAGGAGCATCATGCCTTGACATTCAAAATCTAGCTTTTCCTAGATAGAAAATATATACCTCCAAACATCCTCACCTTGCATGCACTGTTGGCTCTTAATTTCAGAGATGAAGGACCTGAGGTCTTCGGGGTGTGTTTGTTTTTTAAATGTGTATTTAAGGCGCATCATTTTCAGCCAGTAGGTTTTCTTTGTGTTTGACCTCAAGCCCTCCCGTCCTAAACGTTTACGATTCCCTTTGTTAAATTATCAAACCGCTCCGTATTTTAATGTATGCGAAACACTTGCCGTGTTTATATTTATTGGACCTCCAGCCTGTTGTTTTTGTTATTGCTTCAAATAATGTTACTTTCGAGATCATTAAAATATACACCTTTTGAGTGAGCCGCAAAAGTCTGGTTCTTTTTTTTTTTCTTTTGTAAAAAAACCAAACACACAACAACCCAAAACTCTGGCTACTTGAATGAGAGATGGAGAATGGCACAACGTCAGAACAGGATGTCGTCATTCTGATTTAGGCTTCGCCCAAAAAGCACGAAGAAGATTCCTGGTCCCGACAAAACCCCTTTTATTAAACGAATGTGAATCCCTCTCATTCACATTCAGCAAAGGCCTGGCAAACAGTCTTTCAAAGGAATAATTATGACCGCAGACTTTTATCTGTTTGATGGAAATGGGAAGTAATATAAACAAAACAAAACATGGGGGGAAAGCAAAGATACCAGTAAATGTGATGCTGTACAGCAGAATAACACAGTAGTATAAGAGTTGCAGTGGGAATCCGGGACAAATAATTAATTTCCAAGAGAATCGAATGAGGATCCAACGAACTGAACTACCAGGTAACTAAATCTGGTGCACCTTTCCCACCAAAGACTTTTTTCTAGGAATTTTCTGCTCCAAACACTGCCTCTTCCAAACTCTTTGTTTCATATCCTGACATCCTGTAGGAGCTGGGCATGACCTGGATTTGAACCTCAGCCCAAAGGGATGGCTGCCCGCTAATGCTTTCAACAGCCCACAAAGCTGCTTTATGGAGCATCTCGACTCCGTTCTCCCGGAAGGGAGCCTTATGTGCCCATTTACCCCCCCCCCATCTGGTTGGAGATAATCCATGCCAAGATTTGGTGCTTCCTGCAAAAAAAAATGAGCTTTGCCCAACAGGTTGATGGGATGGGTCAGCATCCTGAATCCAGCTAAGGTTAGGCATGAGGGAGTCTTGCTAAGACCCAAAGAAGAAACTCATGGAGATTGTCTGACACCTCTCTGGGATGGGTATGCTTGACGTGGATTTGAACCCCAGCCTAGAGGGATGGCTGCCCGCTGATGCTTTTAACAGCCCACAAAGTTGCTTGATGGAGCATCTCAACTCCCTTCTCCAGGAAGGGAGCCTTTTGTGCCTGTTCCCCTCCCATCTGGTTGGAGAGAACCCATGCCAAGATGTCAAGATTTGGCATTTCCTGCACAAAGCCTACCTTTGGCCAACAGGTGGATGCAATAGCAGTTAGACTTATATACCGTTAGACTTATATACCTCTCTAAGCGGTTTACAGAGTCAGCATATTGCCCCCAACAACAATCCGGGTCCTCATTTTACTCACCTCGGAAGGATGGAAGGCTGAGTCAACCCTGAGCCGGTGAGATTTGAACAGCCGAACTGCAGAACTGCAGTCAGCTGAAGTAGCCTGCAGTGCTGCATTTAACCACTGCGCCACCTCGGCTCTTCTCCTCCTGCTAAGGCTGAGCCAAAGATTTTGCTTCTTTAAAGGTTCTGGTCATTCTCCTTTGACTTTGAGTCAAATCAAGTCAAAGGTTCCACCGATAAGATATTGGCAACTTCACTATCTCTGCCAGTCAGCTGTGAGTTGACTGTGGCATGACAAGCCTCTATATACTTTACAGCATTATAACTAGGAAGATGCATAAAGACAGTCCTTGAGATACGACTGTAGTTGAGCACCAAATCAATGTTGCTAAGCAAAACATTTTAAGCCCTTTCACGCCA